TTTGAATAGTACCCCTGATTATCTCATAGGTTTGCTGGATATTCCCTCAACTCCCCTTTAAAAAGACGGCATTACTTCCAGTTCCCCAAACTTGTCAAAACCAATTTGCTTTCCTATTACTCCCTGAACTGATTTCGCCACGACCCCTCCTCGCCGCCTTCCCTCCACAAATCCTCGACCCTCTGCTTCCCTCAATCGAAACTCCCAACACGACCTGTGCAACCCCTATGCTCCCACCGCCTTCAACCGGCGGCCTCCTGTGAATATTTTTTTTTAAGAAACCACCTTTTTCTTTACCGCTCTAAACAGTCTAAATGCTGTGGCATGTTCTTTCATCCCCATGCAAGCCTTAAGAGGAAACACAGTAAACAGTTAGCCCGCCATGCACACACTAACAGACCTTTATGTGAGCGAAAGCAGATAGTGAGTCACCCACTACTAAATAAAACCTGTCTAATAGAGATCAGCAAACCTAAAAACTTCTGGTTGCCAGCGTTGACAGCACGTCCACCATCATATCCTGCACAGCCCTTCACCCCCCAACCTGCACCCATCCCATCCATTCCTCTCCCGTCAATTAGCGCCTCAATAGCGACAACACAGAGGATCTTCATTAGTGGGGAGTGTTCAATTATATCAGTTGATATTCCTTTCCAAAACTAATTATCCTAGTTGCATGGTACGGCTGACTGAGTCTGCCCTCACCCCGGGTCGCACCGATTACTGATGTGATTTGGTTTTGGCTCCAAGGTCTGCTTTCCTGTCTTCTCTTTTGTTACCCTTTTCCCTCTCCGCTCATTCAACACAGTTATATAGTCCTTCTCCAGAACTCTCCATGATATAATTGACACTCTTTGCATTATGTAAATTGTTCATGATAAATTGTCATAGTTTTAAAATTTCCCAGTAAAAAGGTAAAGAAACTAAAAACTCAGAGTCTGGATCTTGTTCCTCCTGTAAAGACAAAAATAGCAGAGCTGTGTTAATTCTACAAAAAGCTCATCATAGGAACCCTCGCTCCATATAATCCTGCTGCTTTGCTCATTCTGTGGGGGATAACACAAATAAGTCAGCTTGTAACGCAGCTATAGCTGAAACACAAGCAGTGCGAACAGTGTCTCCTCATATAAGAAGACAAAGACAGGATATAAAAACTACAGAGGACATATAGTGGCGATTCTGTATATGTTTTATCTCAAAGCATATTAAATGGGATGCATCCACTAATGAACAGCTGTGAAATCTGAAATCTGTTGTTTATGAGGCAGAAAAAATGCTTATATTTCATGAAAATTGCTCATGATTTCAAAGCAGCCTGCTTTTCTTTCAATTAAAATACTCCTTTAGAGGTTGGAACAATTATCATACACATCTTCCCAGTATGGTAGATGTAATAAAAGGCAATGCTTGAGCATGTAAGTTAATTACCGTAGAAACTTTAAGGCAAAAACAGAGAAACTAGTTCTTTCGTCTGGAGGAAATTTAGGCAGTAGGGATTAACTTTAATGGAAAGACTTACTATTTTTCATCTCAAGCACATTACGTCCATGCAAATCGTTTTGGCTTTATGTTTCTTGAAAAGCTTTATAATGCAAAATATTATCCAAACGTCTAAGCTGTACACTGCCTGAGTCTTTGCAATAATGTGTCAGCTTCAGGTTCTCTCAGTGGGCGGCTTCGCTGCCCGTAAGCCGTAGACCAGCCTCACGGAAGGTGGGCTATTTAGTCACATTTCAAAGTAGCTTTGGCAGGGGAACACACTCATTACACATAATTCCTCTCCTCTTTTATTTGGCTCCCTCTTCAGTCACCCCACTTTCCCCCTTTCACTCCCTCTGTATCGTTCCTCTCCCTGTTTCATAGACCAGGAGACCTTATGGTCCTCTGTCCAGAGTCCGGAGGTAGATCACTTTAATTCTGCTTCACGGATCTTTTTCAAAAAGACCAGAGACCCAGAGACCTCAGAACCAGTGACCGCTGGGTGAACCCGGGCCAACCAGCCAGGGCTTGGGCACTTGCAAACACAGTCATCGTCTCACCCATTGTCATTCCCCCTGAGTGCTTTTGTTGCTCTCTCCACAAAAAGCACAAGCATTTGATGTTAAGCAGAGTGTACGCTTTCATCTGGAATGTGTTTGCTTGTTTTTTGAAACCCCTGGTCATCGTGTCTACCACGAAAGTGATTTTGACCGTCATTACTCTGACAGTGACTGATCAATGATTTAAAGCTAGATTGCTGGCCTCGACACACATCTTTGTTTTGCTATCTCTGTTATAGCTATTTGGGTGGCTTGCATCCAAAATTCAGTGTTCCCAAGACAGTCTAATCTATCCTGGAACAAATAATAAAAAAGAAAAGCCTTTTCTGTCCTAGATGAACAGGTTTGATTATGCGGACAGGACCTGGATTCCACCAGTGGTTCATAAGTTCATTTCACTGATTGGGAGGAGCCTATAACCAGACCATCTGCCTGATGTCATCAACCTAATTTATCCAACAAGCTATTTGCATGCTGGAAAAAACAGATCATTACTGAAAAACACATTTTTGCTACAACGATACCTTTAAAAAATAAAAAACGATTTGCATTCTCCAACTTAATGAGTTTTGCTACTTTCTGCCAACATTACAGGTCATACAATCAGCATAACAGCCTAATAAATATCACAAGACCATAACCATAACAGGCAGACTTAGAGCAAAAATACTGAAGCATGATATGTGTGACAACAGATGAGTTTCCTTGGAAGATGTCAGTTTTTTCCAAGGCATAGTCGAATCAAAACACACTCACACCGTTGATAAAACCTCTAACAAAAAGACAGAACACACACAAACCCACACATCCAAAAAAAATATAATAATAATCACGGATATGTCAGTATGTGGGACATTTGGTGGCATTCTCAAGGAGTGAAACCTGTCTGGTTTACTTTAGAAACCACTGTAGACACGACTTTTCTTCAGCCTTGTTACTTTCGCACAGCCTCCCTTAAAGGGCAGCCGGCTCATCCTTTTGATGACTGACGGCGGGATTTGCAGTGATAATGTCTTCAGGTGCCAGAGGATTGGGATTAAACATACTCCAATTTAAACAGCAAAGTTACCATGGCAATGACCTTCAGTTTTAACTCACACATGTGGGGAATAGGGCATGGTGTTATTGTCCGGAGACGCTCCTATTCAGCGGGGGCTTTGTCCATGATTGCACTTTCAAATCCTCCATCAAATTAGAAACTCTGTCCTAGAATATGTCTGTTGGAGAAAAGTGCAGGTGACATTTCAGTCATGGCAGTCGTGCAACCGAGATACGAACTTGCAAGCATGACTTTAACAATGTTGAACACTCTGAAGTGAACTATGAGTCCGAAAAGACAAACACTGGACACCCAGCCCGCCTGCACCGTGACCTCTTGACCCTCCATCGGCCCTCCATGTTTAGGCAAACCCTCACCTCCCATCCTAATTAAGGTGAAAGAGGCCTTTCAAATGAAGCTGATGGGGGCTGACGTGGGGCCGCTCTTTTAGCCTTCTGTGGACGTGAATACCCAAAACATGCTATGGCTGAGCAGTCCTGGAGACTCACGGTTTGGGGTCAGTGTCTATCCCCCACCGGGGCAATCCGTTCACACTCTCACACCTACCTGTCAAAGGAGAGAGCAGCAGGACATCACGAGAGAAAAAAACATAACGGAAAAAGAGAGCGAGTCTTTGAAAGCAGGAAGCGTGAGGGGGGTGTGGGGTGTTTTCACATTTAAATAAAGCACAGTCCCCATCAGACAGCAATAAAACAGTATAATTATTATCACTATTGATTCAGCAGTACCCATGAGGCGTGGTTGGTCAATATGAACTGCAGTAATATTCGATGGCTTCGGCTGCAGTCACAAGTGTGGCCAGACTGCCCCACAGTGGAGAAACTGAGAAGTACCAGAGCAGGAACTTATGGTGAGCACACACACAAATGAATACAGAGATTTATATCATGTTGTCCTCCTAGTGACCCTCACTGTGTGGTCAAAGCTAGGAAATAAACAAGCATTCATATTAACACACAAGCAGTTTCTTTATATTTCAACAAGCTCTGCTATAACCAGCGGGAATCATCAGTCCAACAGATTTCAGTGTTATAGCTTCTCCACGTATGAACATAATGCAGAGTGTTAGCATCAATCTTACAGCAGCTGTTGTGTCCAACTGTTTGGTTTGCAAATATTTGGTGCATTTAAATGTGTCAGCACACATTTAAATGCAATACCTCACGTAAATGGTGCATTAGTGCCAAATTCACATAGAACCTTGGAGTGCTGGAGTGTTATTCCTGTAAGTCTTGGTCAAATAAAAGATCTCTCAGTATTAACACAGTCATATGTTTAATACATTTTTGCTCTTTGAAAAAGGAAGTCATATTTCTCCTCGGGTACTGTGCGTGAGATTGACAGTCAGTGATGTTATAATAATGGAAGAATAATGATGGCAGCTGTGGCTCAGGTGTACCAACCAGAAGGTCAGTGGCTCAGTCCCGACCCTTCCATTTTGCATGCCGAAGCATCCGAGGGCATGATACTGAACCCAGAGTTACCTCTGATGTATCCATCGGAGTGCAAGTGTGTGCACAAATGTTAGAAAGTGCTCAGGCATGAATAAAAGGGATGTATGAAAGTGAGTGTTTGTGTTTGATTGGATGAATGAGACTTGCTGTAGGAAGCCCTTTGAGTGTGCAAGTGAGTAAAAAGGTGCTTTACAACAAACAATCCATTATTTGACCAGCGTTGTGTCAGAAACAGAGCTTAAGCCAGCCAGTTAATAACCCTTTTAAAAAATATATGAAGGCAAAAACACAGCAATCAGGTTAAGTTATTCAGTCTGACGCTGAAATCAGCAGGATTTTTAGAAAAACACAAAAACATAAATCAACTTGATTAAAGAAGATAGTTTTCATTCTGTTTTGATATTTGGGAACAGAAAAACGACGTTAACCCAGCGACTTTCACAAAAGATTTCTTTTAATGGTTGTAGTTATAGAATTACTGCAAGATAAATGTATCTTTACATTTGACATTTGCACCATTCAGTAGTTGAATATATATTTATTTACAACATAGTATATACACCACACAGAAAGGATAAGAATCCCCTTTTTCAAAGAGGATTAAATTGTATTTTTTAAATGTTAAAAAAAAGAAAGAAAGACACAGGAACTATATTAAAATAAATGATCGAAATAAAATACATAAAGATATCAACAGCCCAGTTTAATGTACATCACAATGAAATTGGAAAGAAGCTGGTAATAAAATTAAAAGCAATGACACAATTGACAGCACAGATAGTTATTATATAGCATCTACCTGTTCACCATCCACTGTTAAAGTGTGGCCAGACTTCCTTTCTCTAACATGGATTAACCTCATCAGAGCAACACATCTGGCCACCACCGTATAAAAGGGTTATATGGCTTTTCAGTGTGTGAGTAGCATTCTTTCATCATATTTCACACAGCTCAGCCATGAGATTGAGAGGTAAGGCTAATAATATAACAACACACCAGTGGCGTGAACTCTTAGTGCTGCATTTGTACGTGACACATTACATTGACATTCATGGTTGTATCGGTATGTGAAGCCTGAAAGATGCACGGAGTAATATCTTGACAGATGATTGGTAAAAACTTACTCTAGTTCTTTTTTTCCTGCACTTTCAAAAATTATAGGGTTTGCATGGAACCAGGATGAGTAACATGAGAAATTCAAAATTCAAATGCTATTTCTTCCCCTTCAATGCAGGAAAAAATATATATCTCTGCCTGTTATTTCAGCACTTCCCTTAGGATCTTCTACTTATTGGCTTAGTGAAATCCATTGAAAGACACATTCACTTGAGTACTTTTTAATGGATTCAGTGGAACACGGTGAATATAATCCACACAGTCATATCTAGCAGATAAATAAGGTAAATCAAAGTGAAATGGTAACAAGGATGGCATGGAATGTGGAATTTGGCAGTGTTATTTGGCAGTCGGATACATGCGGGCTTGATTGAGTCGTCTACTTAAAAAAGCAGTGGGAAAATGGAAGAAAACAGCAGTAAGTAGGTAAGTCCAGGCAGCTGGTTGGCGAAGCTTGTTACGTTGCAGTCATTGCTGTAGCAGCAGTGAACTCTGACACCTGGTGCCCTGTAGCCCTGACTGTTGGCCTGGCTGCAGAAGGACTTGTAAGAGCATGACTTCATCACGCCACCTAACAAACAGAAAATGAAGCCAGTTACTCTCATTTAGAAGCTGTCCGCCATCGTCCAATCAATATAAGTCGATGCTAAATTGTTGCTTTAAGAAACTCTCCTGGCTAGTCTTGCTTTCAGCGATTTCTTTGGTGTTGTTGTTTTCATCACAGCAGACCATTGAAACACTTAATGCAGGTTTAAACACAGCATTAGAGTAAACAACTCCCAGCTGAAATATTACAAGTTGCAGGTTTAATGCTAAACCTACCACCTTTTATGAATTTGGTCCAAATGATTTTTATTCATTATAAAATATTAAAATAAAAATATATTATCTACAGCCAAAAAAATTTTTTAAAAAAGATCTGCTGGCTGAGATTTGGTAAATCTGTCTTGGTGCCATGAACACATGGTGTCCTAATTAAGGACATTCATTGAGTAGGAGTAGCAAATCTCTTCATTCCCTTAAAAGCCTCAGACCCCCTGCTGCCCGAGATGTGTCTACAGAGAGCAGGCTGTCGTCTATTTAACACACAAAAAAGACACACACGCACATATACAAGAGAAACAAATGGAGTTTTTTGGTGGAAGGTTGGAATTAAACTAGTAAAAAGAAAGGCTACTACGCTGTCACTGTTGGACTCACTGTCATGGCCCACCACTACAGCACAGGCATCAGAGTAGCCAGGACAAGCTTTGGAGCCTTGTCGGTTGCAGTCATCGTTATTGGAGCCCATGCATGTATAACATCGTATAGTCTCACCTGAAAGGGAACAGAGCGCTACTATATAAGAAAGAGTCAGCTGTACATGTATATCTTGTCAGGGTGAAAAACCTCTACAGCATAGGACACAAATGTTTGCTTTAGATAACTGAAGATGATTGCATGGGATAGTGCCAACAAGTGTCCGAAGCTTAGATATTTCTAATTCATATTTACACAGGATCTATAGGTTGGCAAGTGCATGAAGGGCTTATAAATGTGTGACTTTCCCTGGGTCCAGAGGGAATATGAAGAGAAACAGCACTAATTAATTAACTTCCTTCATATGAATTTTCCCAAATCAACCAAAGTGTTTCACCAGTGCCCACACATTTAAAAAAATACATCTTTCTAAACTTTAGCTAATGCCTCAGAGCCCACTTCAGCACATAAAACACTTAAATATCTTTCTAAAGCTCTCCCGAGGAGGGAGCTGTTATTTGAAAACTAACTGACCTTTGAAATACTTAAAGGCTTCCTTTTGAAACTCTCCATCCATCTCCTAAATTCCAGACAAACTTAAGGCTGCTTCCTAAGAGGATCAGAACTGGAGTCACCAAAAGCTTCAAACATACTTTGCAGCAGCATATCTCCTGTACTGGCCATCAAAATAACCTCCTTCAACTCCGGATAGGTCTGTCATCATTAAGTTTTGATAGAAACAGATATTAAAAAGAGAAGTTTTTTCCATATATACAACAAGATGTGGCATTTTTTAAATGAAACCAGCTAAATTATCTAATAACTTACCAAAACCTAACCACAAATAAACAGCGAAGCTACAAAAGCACGTGTGAAACAAAGAAATTGCATAATCGGCCCGTTTTCTGCACATGTGCTCTCACGTATACTGAGTTGGTATATAAATACTTTCTGTTGTTTGCAGTTGGCCCCAATCTATCCCCGCGGCATTGTCGCTCTACACACATGCTGTAAGTATTAGCCTCCAGGCCTATTAAGAGATTATTTGCAGGGAGTGCGTGCTTCTTGGGTGTATAGTGGAGAGTGATGGACTGAAGGGACACGAAACCCATCAGAATCACTGCAGACAGCAATTAGTGAACATGACATAAATAAAGTATAAGGTCAGTAAAAGGACTTAATGTTTAATGATCCTACTGAAGTTATGAAACATGTCAGGTTTTTCCCGAGAAATAACTGTAGGTCCATCATGTCCAGCATCTACGCTCCTTAAGTCAGAATGTACAGTGGAGCCATTCATTTTAGTTATTTGTTTAACACGGTCTTACTCTTCAGGAACACATTAAATACACTAAACGCTAAACACAAACTATTATTTATAATGCAAGGGTTGAAACGTACAGTATCTGAAAGGAGGCGAGATGAAATGAAAGATGGACAAACAGTTAACCAGCAAACAGAGGTGCATAAAGAAGAAAAAGTTCTTACAGGTGGTTGCTAGCAGGACCAGGGAAAACAGAAGCAGCAGACAATAGTGGACAGCTCTCATGGCGCTGATGGTCCTCACTTGTCCCGACTACACAATGAAAAGCAGGTTGTTTGCTCCTAAAGCCCCCTGAGCTTAATCTGAGCTATCAGATGAGCTGATATTCCTTCCTGTACTAGCCAGGAGATTACTAGCCCCTCAACTGGGGCCCACCACTCTGTCTTAAACAACAACAGAGTCGCTTCTGCAGCCTGGATGGACAGAGGACACATAATGGATTTCATTCTGACTCTCTCGCATTAACAGTTTGCTGAGGCCACACCCATCCTGAGTTTGGCTCTTTGCTTTCTTGTCCCTGCTGGTTGTCGTGCCAAAGTACTTACGTATGGCAGGTGTTGGGTAGGGGCAACAAAAAAAAGAAAAAAAAATCTCCCGGATCAAGAGAAAACAAGCAAAAAAAGAGAGCGACATAATAAACACAACACCATCGCATTAATCCAGCTAAGTGTAAATAACAGTAAATACTAAATAATGAACGTTGTTGTGCAACACGCAGGACTGACAGCGCTCAATGTGCTTTGAGGTAGCAGCCAAGAAAGGTGTAGTTTGTGTCAGAACAGTGAACACCTGTGTGTACACCTGCGTGCACACCTGTGTGGATGAGCGTGCTTGTATTCAAAAGGTTTCTCCATGTAATGATCTGCTAGAGGGTGTAGGGAGCCATAGGCCTGTCCCCCAGGGCATGAAGCACGCATGGAGGAGATCCAGGCCCCAGACATCCAGAGGACCCAGAGTGCGAGAGCCCAAGGAGGACCATCGGAGGTGCATCCTTGCCACCCTCCCGGTAAGAGCTGTGGAGAGCCCCAGACGAGGGGTCACCCAGCAGCCACAGAGAAGAAGCCAGGGGGGGCTGCAATGGTGTGCCCGCGGGCTCTGCCAGCAGCCAGCTGTGCCAGAGTGAAGAGTGGTAGTTCATCTTTGCCAGCAAGGATTTGTTTCACAGCACTCATTAGACTGACCAATACTCAGAACAATGGGAAAGTCCAAGTGAAGATCTAAGAAGGAGAACTGCAGATCTAGACAACCTTTGAAGGTCTCTTGGAGCCATTTCTAAGATAATCTTCCAAGATAATCAGTTCAAACAATTGTATCAAATTTTTTTTGGATGTATTTTCACTTTGTCAAAGTCTGGAAGAAGCCCCAAACTGTCACCCTCAGATAAGAAGAAGGATGTTCATGAACAACTGAAGAACAACAAAGGTTCGAGACTGTCATACAGTGGAAACTGCTGGGACACCTGCACCACTGCCCACAATTAGGTGAGTTTTACATCACCATGGATTTAAGAGGGTGTTGAACAATAAAAAAAAGCCTTTGCTCCAAAATCAGCACCTTCAAGCTTGACTAAATTTTGGACAACTCAAATGCCTTCTGTCCGCAATTTAGTTTTTCCCCATCATATATTCCTTTGTATTTATTTCTGGTTACTGGTGTAGATTGATTTATCTTTTGTTGAGTTGTTCTTCCTTTGCACAGTGTTTGGAGCTTTGCATACTTTTTCTTTAAACAAGATTCATTGGTTTCATTCAGTTTAGTGTTTAAGGTTTCGTCATAATTTCCACATCCCTTGTGTTGTGGTTAACCTTAATCCTTAGGTTAGTTGTTCCTGTTAAGTTACTGTTTTAAGTCGTCAACCACTTGTCTCGTGTGTTTAGTATTCAGGTTTACTTACCCCAGTCTCAGACCTGTGTTGTGCCCTGCAGTTCTTATCACTTCCTGGTGTGCTCGTTATTCCACCCTGTCATGTTTCTTGTTGGTTGTTTTTAAGTTCTAATGGTTTTCCCCTTCTCTATTTTTGGGATTTCGTGTTATTGCAGAACCCAAATTTGTCTATTTTATTTAATCAAAGCATAGTTAATCAGAATGTCTTCACATACCTTTTACTGATTGCAAAAACAAACCCTGAGTTATATGTATCCCTCATTTTACATCTTTGAAAAATTAAAAGTTTCAAAAACAAGAAGTGCTGTGCAAGTGTATTTCATCATAATACTTTTTTTTTTTTTTTTGCCTGGTCTAAACTCGCATTTTTCATGTGAGGAAAAAGCTGTTGCAGTTACAAATGAGCATCAAAAGAAAGTTGATTTAAGTGACTTTGACCAGAGCATGACTGCTCCTGCCATATTTGTCGGGTCTGAGCATTTCAGAAATTGTAGATCACCCACACGGCCGTCCCCAGAGTTTACAGAGAATGGTCCAAAAATGAGAAAATATCCTGTGAGCGAAACTTATTTGGTTGAAAGTGCCCTGTTGAGTCCATAGATCATATGAGAATGGCCACCATTGGTAAGTTTAAACCCATTTCAGGAGTGCTCAAGCACCACTAAAAATAACCATAACAGTAGCAATAGCATTACATGTTATTATTCTTTTTTTTTTTTTACATCATCTGTGTGCTTCACTAGCAGTGGCTTATCATTATTAGAGAAGATTTGTGGTGCTGCAGCAGAAAGAAGAAGATGAAGAGATAATTTCCTGACACAAGTATGCTCAAAACACAGGTTACTGAAACATTAGGAAGCAAAAGGGAAACTTCTTCTGATAACACAGGGTCACTGATGTGACTTTAAAAAGTGCCTGTTTGTATATATTTGCTCTCTAAATAGCACCCAAAACATTAGCTAACATCAGCTAGCTCACCAGAGATTATTAGCTAATTTTAGCTTTCTTAGTCTGCTGGCACTATCACTAGTTGCCAGGCAAGGAGCCGATATTTACTGTCTAGTTTCGTTAAAGTTGCCTATTCTGGTCGAATTAGGCTTCTGTGTTTGATTACAGTACAGCTTCAGATCCAGGTGAGAGCAACTTAGATGGATGTTCCTGTACATGGCCAGCAGCACCCCACATTCAGTTTGAGTGTAGTTCTAAACGTTATTGAGGTTATAAATTCGGTTTCACTTTTACTTTGACCTTTTGGATTACAACACAAAGACAGAGACAGGAAGAGAAGGAGACACAGCAAAATGAAACACAATGGACGTATGGACAGTGGATGCAGTTAAAGTCAAGGTAATAAGTCAAAGTGACGTCATCAAACACACATCCCCAGCCTGCAATTAGAATCATTTAACTTAAATTACTTTTATGGCAATTTATTGTTAAATATAATATGTTTATATGTGATTTTAGGTGCAAAAGAGGAGCGTGAAGAGAGTGACGACTGAGAGAAGAACAAAGTGAGCAGATTGCCAGAAGTTAGGAGAAAAACTAAAGTTTAGCAAAATTAAAATTAAAATCACAAAAAAAAAATGATGCCCTGTGATGAGCCTGCACAAAGCGAGGGTTTGTATAAACTGGAGAAGCTTGATATAAAAGCAGCTCTCTTACCAGCTTGCTTCTTGTCCAGCGTGCATGGAGTAGCATTGTGATTGTTATGTGTCTGCTGAATACTACTACTTACTTAATTGCTTTATAATTTGGTGGACTGCCTCTAAATGGTTAAGAGGCTAAAACAATGTTGTGCATGTTTCACCTCTTCCCTGCTTTACTAATTTAAGTATTTTCTCAACTTTCTGGAAAGTTGTAATCAACATGATTGATACTGTGTCTCAGATTTGATAACTATGGGGTCCACAGTTATCAAATCTGTGAGTATTCAATCTGATTTATTCTTAAGCATTACAACAAGTCATTCAACTAATTCTTTTGAATTTGAAAGTAAATTTGTAAAGTGTACATGATTTGAATTGAAGTTCACTATAGTGAAAAGGGTTGGATATGTTTGCATGCAGCATATTCTAATAGTGTTAATTGCAGGGCACTGTATGCATGACATTATGATTGGGGGCTAGTCCTATTCCATGCGCTTTTTGTTTTTTTAGTTAATTTGGGGGAGGTTTGGTTTATGTTTCACGTATAACAGAGCTCACTGGGAACCCAAAATCTCTGCTGTGTCTGCTTACCTACCACCTTACTAAACACTCAAGCCTGATTACTTCACGCTTACCATGTAGATCATGTTTATGACCATGTTTATGAGCATAGTGTAACCTTCTTCTCCTGTTCCCAACATGATAATGTGCCATTTGTCCCTAAATGGCCTCCAGTCACTAGATCTAAATCAGTAGGGCACCTTTGGGATGTGGTGTTATTGGAAGCACATCATGGATGTGCAGCCACCAAATCTGAGGCAACTGTGTGATGTTGTCATGTAAATATGGGCCACAATCTCTAAAGGGAAAGAAGGGGTACAACATGGTACTATTAAGATGGGTGGATATCACATAGAGGAATATAAAAGATGTAAAAATGGGGGGGAAATGAGAAAAAAGAACCAAATTAAACTCAGCATGCTGTATTGCCATCTTTTATTGCACTTTGTAAGCAGATGCTGTACAGTAGCTGTGCAGAGAAGTTATTCCTCAGTGTGACAAACAACCATTGCAGGACTAGGACAGGTTCATCCAAAATTAAATTACTTCTGGTCACAACTGAACACAGTCACAATTAGTTTGCTTTTTATCAAAATAAAATCCCAAAAATAAAGTTCCACAATTTCATCAAAAAAGCTATGACAAGTATGACAAATATCTACAATGTTATGTGAGGGGAGTGGCTGAAGACAACAGAATAACTATCAAAAATGCACAAGTCTTGTTGTTTCCTACAGTATATACAAACATTAACATTACAAGTTCTTCTTTATCTCTCACATGCAAGAATCTATAGTGATCGCTTGTATTCTCTTAGTGGTGCATCACCATTTTATGGATAACTCTAACAATCTGGTTCTCATCTTCAAAGTCTATCTTTCTCTTTATTAAGAGGAGACAATAACAGGAGTGGGTAAACAGTCTTCTCCCTCAGTGGCTGTCATGGCAACATCATAGTAGATAATTTAACCCATAAACAATGCTTGCACTTTCTCATTATCATACACGCACTCGCGCACACAGGCATACTCATTAGTGATATGATAAAACTTGAAAGCAGACCCCCTGATACAGTACGATACACTGAAACATCAAAAATATACAGAGTAATTAGGAGGAAGCCAATCCTGTGGATGATGTATACACATGGTCAGTAGGAAATACAACCCCAAGACCACTTTGGTCTTAGAGGTCCATCAATTTGAGAAGGAGTGCTTCTCTTCATTTTCTGCTTGGCTTCATTGTGATGTGGCCTGCTAACTCTTCCCCATCTTCGCAATTAGTTCATCACAGATCTTTGTTAACTCCTCGATCTCTTTATTCTGTAAAACAGTTAGCAACAAAAAATTATACACTTGGATAACTTTAGAAAATTTTAATTTAATATCTTCTTATATCCTAAAACTGACCTTCTGCTCTAAAGTGCGTTCCAGAGAGTCCACCTTCATCTGCTCCTTCCTCAGACTGGCCTGAGAGGCAGCTTGCTCCTGCTTGGCCTTGGCCCGCACCTGAGCTATCTCTGCGTTGGCCCTGGAGGCATACAAATGATACAAGAAATCACCTCTTCGCAACTCACAAAAGCCTATAAAATCTAAAAAGCAAATAAAAGTTAACAAAGAGTTAATATGGATCATATGTAATCTATAGAAATATGTTTCGATACGAGCCACTGTAAATACTGGTTTAGCTTCAGCTAGCAATGTTAGCTAGACTCATTGCTAGCTAGTTAGCTAGACTTGTTTCCAATTACACTGACTCATATACAAACATATTTCAGCTCAGACAATAAGTTATGCTGTACACTTAAAGAACAGTTTTTGGTACAGGAAAGTACCAATGTTATGGAGACTCACTGCTAGCTAAACTTCAACACTGTTCTCAGTCCCACAAACACTAGAAATCACATCACATATAGAGAAAAAAAAATAAAAGAAAATATGACTACAAAGAACTGAAATAAGCATTAAAACCAAAGTATTTGAAGTCAAAAATGTATGTTGTTCATGAGCTTTTATGCTCAGGAAGTAAGAAAAACTGAAATGTACATAGTGAAAAAATTAGCAGCTTACAGTTAGCATTTACTTGCATTCACATAAGACACTGCATTACTGGACTATTTACTGCATTTGTTACAGTTTAGATAGTGTGGTGGGGAAAATAACACAGTTATTGCAGAAAATGTGACATAATAAGAATATGTACAGACTCACCGGTCTAGTTTCTCCTCTGCATGAATTTTCAGGGCTTGATATCGCTGTTCCTCCTTGCGAACCCTTGAAAGATACTCCTGAGCGCATTTCTTCAATACCTCTTCATTCTGTATGTGGGTGACACAACGGGGCAAGTAAAAAAAAATCTGAGATGACCAACCGAGATGTTCATATTGATAAAAACCTGGGAATAAATTGTGTTACTTTGCGAAAGCCCTCCAGCACATCTTTCATCTTCTCATAACGACGGAAGAGATCGGCAAGAGACTTCTCCACAGAGTTAAGGTCGGCCAGTGCCTGGTCTTTCTCCATGATGAGCTGCTGGATGGTGTGATGGGAAAGAGATTTCTCTTTCTGGTCATCCTCTGATGGACACACATAGAGAGGATGCAGATAAAGAGTCTACTAGGTGAAGAAACTGCTGTTATGGCTAAAAATACTGTTAAAAGACCCCAATCACCACAAACACACACACACACAAAAGACTTCTCTGACATTTTTCACAATATATCGAAATGTATTTGTGGTAGTATGATTCAACAAGATGTTTTACTACACTATATGAGGATTTCTGATAAACCAGTGTAGCATGCAAAACACAAAAAGCTGAACAATGAGAAAAGAAAAACAGAGGAGAAACATCAGAGTGGCCTCAAGACCTTTCAGTGTTAAATATCAATGTGCCTACACTATTTCAGCCTACAAATATCCCTTTCATTTCCCATCGATGAGCAACTCGGTTAACTCACCAAATCTGCATGAATGACTTCACAGCCATCGCCAGTCATGGGTGAAGTGCATGTGTTCATGTACAGATTTACAGTGTGTATTACATCTGACTGAATATGTATAATATTGTACTTTACATGAACAATAACAACAACAAAGTCATTTTTTAAAACTCATTAGATTCAGTCCTGTCTCTCTTTTAAAAACTAGTCTCAGCCTACAAGGTGAAAGCCAAACCCCCCCCCAAAAAACCAAACAAATGAATGAATGGCTCTGAATGAGATGAAGAAATTGAGCACAGCTGCTCCCCTCTCTGATGGACGGATGGAGAGATGCGAGCTGACACAAACAAATGAAAGACAATTCCTCGTTACTCACCTGGCATGCCTGTCAGGGTTATCAAATAGTAAGGGGGGCAAAGATGGGAGCAGAACAGAAAAGAAGGGACTGTGTTAAGTCAAGCTGGGAGGGCAAGACACGTGACAGAGCCGAGTGTTAGACATTAGCAGAGGCAGACTGTTCCTGTGTGCGACAGTGCTTTAATGAGAGTAGGAAAAAGAAAAAGCCGGTCGCAGTGAAAGAAAAAAAAATCAAATCTTCGGGGACGTTCAAAGGTGGAAAGGAAGATGTGGGTGAGAGCAGGAATAATGCAGGAGTGTGAGCCTGCGGTGAAATTTAATGAGTCCAGAGAAGCTGAACAAGAGCGGGCAAAGGAGAGTGCTGTCCCCTCCACTGACATGAGGATTCAGTTCACGTCATTCAAATATGAAAGCAAACACAGAGAAAAGCGAAATTTTGCAAAGGATAGAAAAAAAATTCAAATTAGATTCAAATATCTGTGATCAGTAGCACTGGGTAAGGCCTCACAAGGACCTTATAGCAGATCAGTTTGCAAATGAACAAGAGTAAAATAAAGTGGAAGAGTACGGGAAACAAAAATAGCAGCTTTAAAATGAAATTTGCGTGCTTATGGTTACGTGAACTCACCTATCATCTGGGCAATCGTCTTCTCATACTCAGCTACAATTCTCCTGTGGATGAGAAGTTGCAAATCTTCAGTATATGTCACATAAAAAGTCAAAAAAGAAGACTCCTCACATCGAATACCAAGAAGTCTATTTTTTGCAAAAATTCCCATCTCTCTCTCTGACATGTGCACCACCCGCCTGTTGCTCGAACCCTTCCAGCAAACACCTGTAAGCTACTTATCGCCGTCCAGGTTTACAGTAAACGCGCCGTATTTAGAGGAAATGGAGAATTTGCTTTGAATTAGCTCCAAAATTTACTGCACAACTTTTCAAAATCAAATTGAATTTCTGTTGTTTGAAGTGTCTCGACACAACTAGTAGAAAAGCAACAGGACCCAGTACGAAGCTTCGTCTTTTTAAAAGCAAGTTTCCAGAGGTAAGAGGATAGATTAGCCATGCCTTCCCCTTAGCCTCTTAGCCTCTCCTTATCCAAAGTCTAATCATTCAAATGAAGTAAGCTCCGACTTATCCACACTAACTGAGCAGCAGACAGCTGACACCCGCCACCTGCTGACACACAGTAAAGTTTCTTTACTGTGCATCTTTCCCAAAACCCCAATTGGAAGCTATGAATTTAACCTAGACTGATCATCATGAAACATGTGTAGCTACTGTTAGTTACGAGCTCAGTTGAGCATAACCTAGGATATTTTCTCACATATAACTTTTTAACAGTAAAACCTCTACATTTACACCACATGATCTCCATCTATTTATCTCTACTCCTTGCCAACAGGACGAGGTGTTGATTTTTTTTAAATGGCTATCCAGTCTCCCGTTAATCATGGCCTTGTCTGACACCTTAAGCGAGATAAACCGCTTGAGAGGTTCGGCGGTTGATAATGGGCGGAGTCCGAAACACAGCTAGGTGTTAGATTCATGCTTCAGTGTCTGCGTGTGGGATCCTGGTGTATGAAAGCGATAACAACCCAAGGTGTCTCTTCTTACCTCATCTCCACCACTTCCTGTCGACTGGCTTCATACTTCCTCTGCCACTCCAGCACTTCTTTCTCCTTTGTCACAATCTGAGGATGGAGACAAAATCATTTCATTAAATGTGAGATGCAGACTTAAAGGAACAAACAATGACTTACGGAGGAACAAGAAATATTTTCAGGGCACCTCCTCTCGTGCAATTCCCAAAGAGTGGTCCAGTTCTCTGGGCAAGTGGGGACTCTCCCCTTCGATGTAGCTGGCCGTGGTCCTGGAGTACAGCGAGTTCTTGGACACGCCACTCTCTAGTGAAGATGACACGTCTCTGTGCTGCTTCCGGAAAGCAAAGGAGAGGAGAGAAAGGAACGCAAACATAACCTGTTACCAACGAGGCTGTGGCAACCGCAGGACACCCTCGCCCTCAGGGTCACTCGCACATTCTGGACTGAACCAAACTGCTAGGCAGCCTCAAACTATATCAAAATGTGCCACACAGCAAAAACAATACAAAATGAGGCAAGCCAGGGATGTTCTTGAAGACTTGGTCAGCTGCTACATGATTGGATGAAACAGTCTTCATTGCCACAGTATTAGCCGTGTTATTGGCTGATGCTGGCCCCAGCCGAGCAGTCCTGGTCAACTGCTCATTGAAATAGCTTGAATGTGATTGGGTCCAAGCAAGACAGAGGGGAAGGTGGGCAGCAGCTGATAGTATACAGGAGAGGGAGGTTAGGGGGGGGCAGATTGGGCAGCAAGGGATAGATATGTTAGTCTAATGTTAAAGCATGTTAGAGCATAGTTAACAGGTCTTACCCGTTGTTCCTAGAATTACAGGATTTAACTCATTTTTTTACAGCTACAGAGACTGTAATGTGATGAGGGCTAAGGTGAATCAGAAAATCTTCAGGGTTAATCATTAGAAAGAGTCAGACTTTGGATCTAAAGTATAGACACTACAAACCCAAATGCATCTCCAAGTGTCCGTTGCAACCTATGACAAAATAAATAAAAGCCTCCTCACTTTATCATATTAAAATACAGTTGTTCTAGTACCACGTTTGGGTCCCTGAAAACTCTGAAAAGGATTTAGCTATCCTTGGTAGATAGGGATTACAGGAGGATTTGATGATGGGGGGGTCACAGGAGACAAGGAGAGGTCTACCGCTACTTTGGAAAGAGTTAAGTGTTTGGTCCGGCTGTACAGCTAATTGCCTTACTTCTCTGAACAGAAACGGTCAAGTACATATAACAACAAACATCAGTCAGATACTGATTAGGTTTTTATCTTCCAATACAGAAAGGTTCAGGTTCAGAGACTTTAAGGAAACAAATCAAACCTGTGGTTCTTTGGTAAAGCTGCAGCAAGAATCCGCTAACAAAAAGCCCCTTTTAGTAAATCATCCTGAATCACATGTTAAATAAAGAGCTTTTTTCGTTTAGTAGTACTTCAGGCAAATGTCACAGACTTTTCATTAACAGCACTGACTGTACTGCATGGGACAAAACATGCAGGATTCAGATTTTTAACGATAACCTGCTTTGTATTTGTTTTGCGAGGAAAGCCTCACGTCTATAAAGCCTCAACGATGCACCTGAAATACCATGCCAAATACCATCAACTAAACACTCAAAATGTTCACTGTTGTCTAACTACTGAAGTGAGAGCCAGGTTTCAAGTTGGAGATGAGTTACCATGGTAACCCAACCTCAGCTGAGATGCACAAAGTAATGACTAAAAAATAGAAAAAGGAAAATAAACTGGATTGTTTAATTTCTGCTGCCTTACTCATCACTGAGCAATGTCTGTTATGTTGTGAGATGTGTTTTCTGCTGGCACACTCTAATAATCCTCCAGAAACAGTCTGCACGTCAGGTACTACACAGGTAATTCAGAGATGTTTTGGACTGGCTAAAAAACACACACATGATTTCAGCATAATAAATAACACATTAGTACGCAATTTCAGACACAGACAAGGTGAGCACACTGAAATCTAACCTCTCTTTACACGAAATGCCTTAATTGTAGATTTAATGCTAACAAAAAAGACCCAAAAACACAAGTCGAAGCCACATCCCCCAAAGACAGAGAGGACTGATTATTAGATGCACAAAGGCTACAACAGACATACTACATAGCTGTAACTGCACATAACAGCTCACAAAGAGCTTTTGGTAGGCAGCAAATTAATGGACTCTCTGTAACTTATGGATCTATTAGACTAGACGATCTAGTGGAGTCTGCAAGAATTTGGATGACAGTTTTGGCTTCACAGTCCATTACTAGGAGGCTAAAGTGCTGAATTTCAGCTATAATTGGAGTGCAATTACCTTCAAACTCTATGAATAATAGCGTTTATCGCCCTTATCTTGGTTTTACAAAAAAGTAAGCTATAATTCTTAACCAGTGCAGATGTGAACACCTTTAATCACCTTTAAAGCTTATATTCAGGACATTAATCTGGTCTGCTGACCTACTGAGCCATTAAAAACTATGTGTTTATGATGAAGTACTTGGACTGCGCTATGGGTGGACGTGAACACATCACAGGGGGAACTATGTTGCGCTTACTTTGAGTAAGGGTGAACCGTTGATATTCCACCGGCGAGTACTGGGTTTCTTGAGACGAGACTGTAAAATGCGTGGGACAACAGAATGAGACATGGAAGGAAAGACGTAGGTGGGAAGTGCGTGCCCTGCTCCAACTCTTGCAGGAGTTTAAGTTCAGCACCTGCCTCAGAATTTGGACCAGCAAATCCCCAGGTACTACTTACCCTGCCTAACGCTGTTTTGTTAGTACTGTTAGTCAAATAGATGGACCAAATCACAAAACAAGAATGTGACCTGGGATTTGGGGAGGTGATCATGAAACGTCAACAGATCTGCACCGTAATATGTAACTCCTCAGCTGCCGAGTCTAATGTGAGACATTCCCAGTCACATTCATGCTGACGTAAGTTTCTCATGAAACAGGCAACATGCATGTTGCCCAACATGCATCACAAAGGCAAGGGACTAAGACACAGCACTTGGTTCCTAAGGCTTAATGGAGCTCGCTGGTAGTCAGGGTGGGAGCTGGGACGCATCAAGCCATGTTAGAGTCCAATGTGGGGACGCGGAAGGTGGCGGGACTGTGGATGCAGCTGTACAGCCACCATGTTGATAAGGCCATGGATTCACAGTCACACTCAAAATGGTGTGTTTAAGGGGAGGGAGAGGCAGGCTGAGACACACAGTTTCTCTGTGAATTTCCCATTACGTCGTTGCGCACTCGGTGCTTGCTTGGAAGTTTAGGGGTTTTTTTCGCTGTAAAAAGAAGTTTTCTTCCCACGCACAACGGACGCTAATGTTTTTGTCACTTTTTATGGAATCAAACTCAAAGTAAGGTCAGTACTTCCACGCTTTAAACGCTGCACGCTCATACTCTCTCCCGTATACAGTGGGGCAAAAAAGTATTTAGTCAGCCACCGATTGTGCAAGTTCCCCCACCTAAAATGATGACAGAGGTCAGTAATTTGCACCAGAGGTACACTTCAACTGTGAGAGACAGAATGTGAAAAAAAAATCCATGAATCCACATGGTAGGATTTGTAAAGAATTTATTCGTAAATCAGGGTGGAAAATAAGTATTTGGTCAATAACAAAAATACAACTCAATACTTTGTAACATAACCTTTGTTGGCAATAACAGAGGTCAAACGTTTACTATAGGTCTTTACCAGGTTTGCACACACAGTAGCTGGTATTTTGGCCCATTCCTCCATGCAGATCTTCTCGAGAGCAGTGATGTTTTGGGGCTGTCGCCGAGCAACACGGACTTTCAACTCCCGCCACAGATTTTCTATGGGGTTGAGGTCTGGAGACTGGCTAGGCCACTCCAGGACTTTCAAATGCTTCTTACGGAGCCACTCCTTTGTTGCCCGGGCGGTGTGTTTTGGATCATTGTCATGTTGGAAGACCCAGCCTCGTTTCATCTTCAAAGTTCTCACTGATGGAAGGAGGTTTTGGCTCAAAATCTCACGATACATGGCCCCATTCATTCTGTCCTTAACACGGATCAGTCGTCCTGTCCCCTTGGCAGAAAAACAGCCCCATAGCATGATGTTTCCACCCCCATGCTTCACAGTAGGTATGGTGTTCTTGGGATGCAACTCAGTATTCTTCTTCCTCCAAACACGACGAGTTGAGTTTATACCAAAAAGTTCTACTTTGGTTTCATCTGACCACATGACATTCTCCCAATCCTCTGCTGTATCATCCATGTGCTCTCTGGCAAACTTCAGACGGGCCTGGACATGCACTGGCTTCAGCAGCGGAACACGTCTGGCACTGCGGGATTTGATTCCCTGCCGTTGTAGTGTGTTACTGATGGTGACCTTTGTTACTTTGGTCCCAGCTCTCTGCAGGTCATTCACCAGGTCCCCCCGTGTGGTTCTGGGATCTTTGCTCACCGTTCTCATGATCATTTTGACCCCACGGGATGAGATCTTGCGTGGAGCCCCAGATCGAGGGAGATTATCAGTGGTCTTGTATGTCTTCCATTTTCTGATGATTGCTCCCACAGTTGATTTTTTCACACCAAGCTGCTTGCCTATTGTAGATTCACTCTTCCCAGTCTGGTGCAGGTCTACAATACTTTTCCTGGTGTCCTTCGAAAGCTCTTTGGTCTTGGCCATGGCGGAGTTTGGAGTCTGACTGTTTGAGGCTGTGGACAGGTGTCTTTTATACAGATGATGAGTTCAAACAGGTGCCATTCATACAGGTAACGAGTGGGGGACAGAAAAGCTTCTTACAGAAGACGTTACAGGTCTGTGAGAGCCAGAGATTTTCCTTGTTTGAGGTGACCAAATACTTATTTTCCACCCTAATTTACGAATAAATTCTTTACAAATCCTACCATGTGGATTCATGGATTTTTTTTTCACATTCTGTCTCTCACAGTTGAAGTGTACCTCTGGTGCAAATTACTGACCTCTGTCATCATTTTAAGTGGGGGAACTTGCACAATCGGTGGCTGACTAAATACTTTTTTGCCCCACTGTATTATCCATTGTTGATCTGCACATAGCTGTTGCCACGAAGTCCACTCGCTTACCTCACTGTCATGAGACATTCTCAAAAAAATAAAAAATACGGTTTGAGTAACACAGTGTTCCTACGGAAAAGTAACGGTAATCTAATTACCGTTTTTGCAATAGTAATCCCCAATAGTAATCCCTTACTTTCTCGTTACTTGAAAAAAGTAATCGGATTACAGTAACGCGTTACTGCCCACCTCTGCTTCTTACAGACCTTGGCAAAAAACTTGTGCAATTGAAGTGATGATCTTGGAATCTGCAGTCGCTTAGAAATTGGCCCGAGAGACCTTCCCGATTTGTGTAACTCTACACAATCTTCGCTGAGTTCCTTGTATATTTTCATTGTTCTGAGTATTGTTCAATCCAGTGAGGGATAACAAACTTCTTTCTTTTCTTTTTCTTTTTCTTTTTTTTTTTAATACTGGCAAAGAACTAATCAGTCATGATGATTGTGCGCATGCGCCAACCAGCGTGCAGCCTGTTACAGTCGCTCCTGCTTTTCTCTTAGTTTAGCTCTTTTTTCTTAAGTATTCTTTTTTTTTCTGACTTGTATTTTCCTCCGTTTTCTATCTCTTACTCAACATGTGGATTGAGAGAGTTTTTGTTCTTCTGGTGGCCGTGGAACTGTTACTTTTATCAAGGAACGGGACCGCGGCACATCTCCTACACGCACGGACTGTTTACTCCAGAGATCAGCTGATCGCCCTGATGCCGGCCGGCTCGCTGGCCAGGCCCGCAGAAGTACCAGCTGAAATTTGGAGGAAAACACATCGGGGATGCAGAGGTCAAGGACAGAAGAGAAGAAAAAAGGTGACGGTGAGACAGCGGAGGCTCGAAGCGAGGAGGAGGTTTAAACCGTGTCTGCCGTCTATCGTGATGGGTAATGTGCGATCGTTGGCAATTAAAATCGACGAGCTCTCAGCACTGGTACGGAGTCAGAGGGAATACCGAGAGTGTAGCCTGATGTGTTTCACCGAATCATGGCTGCACCAGGACATTCCCGATGAGAATGCTTCCGTGGAAGGCTTCCACACTGTTCGGGCGGACAGGGACAGCATCGCTAGCGGTAAGCGGAAAGGAGGTGGGCTTGCTGTTCTAGTTAACAACCGGTGGTGTAACCCTGCCAACATAACAATCAAAGAAAGGATTTGTTGCCCGGACACTGAACTGTGTGCTGTTGGACTCAGGCCGTATTATTTACCCAGGGAATTCTCTCACGTCATCTTGGTGGCTGTTTATGTTCCTCCCTCTGCTAACCCCACAGCTGCATGTGACACTATCCACTCTGCCATAGCTCGGCTACAGACTCAGCACCCGAGTGCCTTTATTGTGATCTCGGGTGACTTCAACCATGTATCACTGGACAATACACTACCAACATTCAAACAATATGTGGACTGTCCCACCAGGGGAGAGAAAACTTTAGACTTACTGTATGCTAACGTCAAGGATGCATACAGCTCCTCCTCCCTCCCCCCACTTGGTAGGTCAGATCATAACCTGATTCACCTCACCCCCCGCTATGTGCCAATTGTGAGGAGGGAACCTGTGACCACCAGGACTGTCAGGAGGTGGTCAGAGGAGGCCTTAGCAGAACTACAGGGCTGTTTCGAGGTGACCGACTGGGAAACACTCTGTGAGCCTCACGCCGAGGACATCAATGGGCTTACTGAGTGTATCACAGACTACATAACTTTCTGCACCGACTCCATTGTTCCAGCTCAGACTGTTCATTGTTACCCAAATAACAAGCCGTGGGTGACTAAGGACATCAAAGCCCTCCTCAACAACAAGAAGAGGGCTTTCAGAGGGGGCAACAAAGAGGAGGTGAGGAAGATCCAGGTGTTACTAAAGGACAAGATCAGAGAGGCTAAGGACAATTACAGGAGGAAGCTGGAGTGGAAACTCCAGCAGAACAGCATGAGAGAGGTGTGGAGGGGCATGAAGACCATCACTGGATTCAGGCCAACCAACAGCAGGGGAGCTGAGGGAGGTGAGAATAGAGCCAATGAGTTGAATCTGTTTTTCAATAGATTCGACACCACAGTGTCTGCTCCCACCCCCACAACCTCACCTGTAGTCAGCCTGGAATCCAGAGCCACACCACTGTGCCAGCCTCTCTCTTCACATGTTGCCTCCTGTGAGAGTCCTGACACCCCTCCCCCACCCTCA